TGTTTTAGGCCTTGTGCCTACTTGGCCTCACTTGCTCACGTCTTGACTTTGCTTGTACTGTGATCTACATACTTATACCTGCATGCTTACACTTGCTAGGTTTTGATCACTGTACTGCTTGTTCACCATTATATAACTCTACATGTGAACTGGCCTTGTGGCCATTTGCTTGTGCTCAGAGTGTGTGGTGACTTCGTGATCCACCCTGAGCTTGCTTTGCTTTTTTTTACTGGTCTTGTGACCTCTTGTTCTCCCCCACTTTGCCTATGGGGGTGTGTCAAAAATCCAACTTAGGGTTAGTACTTGTACCCATCCTGCTGCTAGTTCATCCATCCCTGCTCGTTAGTTTTTGACGTCGCTCGCATCTGGTCTAGGCCGGTGTGTAACTTCGTATTTTTTCGTACGGAATTATCACCATTTTCCTCCATTTGGCGATTTACAGGAAGATTTGCGACGAAAATAATTAAATTTTAGGCGCTGGTCGACTTACTGTGAGTCGGATCGACTGTAGAAATGGGGGGCCGCTGATTCTGTAGGTCACGTAATTCTCCCTTAGTCGAAGTTCTCGTCCGATCTCGGCCGTTGAGAAGAAATTTGATCCGACGCTCCAAAATCCAACTTTTTTGGATGAAATTATCAGGGCCGTTGAGATTCGAATCGATATGACGGTCGAAATCCCAACTTTTTCGCCACTGAACCTGAGGAGTGTTCGAAAACCGGTTCGAGGGGGACGTTAAAAAATAGCGCGGAACTGGTTTACGTACCCGAAATCGACCCTTTTCGTCGTCGCCCCCGCGGTTTTAAAAGCTAGGTTTTAGCGGTCGAAAAACTTCGCATGTAAACAGGCTCTGATACCAAGTGTGAGGATCTAGGATCGAGCTCAGAAAAGTAGGTTTGAATTGAATGATCCACCTGGGTACAACATGAGGCTATATATAGTCTCGACACAAGGCCAGTAACCCAGGTGTTACGCGAATGTTCTGAGGGTCGCGAAGCGTCCCGAATAGAACCTTCCCGAACTCGGTAGAAAGCAATTCGGAGGCAACCGAAAAGGCTTGAGTTCGGTACACATAACCTGGTTCGGTGCTATAACTATAATAGCATATAGGAATGCACCTAACCTAGGAAATCAAGCATATCTATGCATGATAAAATAAACCTAAGCTAGAAATAGCATAATAAAGTCCAAGCAAGCTAGCAAAGCCAGCATAAGCCGTTGTACTCTCACAATCACATCCAAACACCATGATAAGGTGAGCGACTTGGTACAACGTGCTTAGACCGCTCCCATAGTAAAACCATGTCAAATTCATGTTGAAGCCCCATAAATCCCCGAGCAAAGCCCATTTAGAGTCCAATGAGGTCCCAGATAGGGCGCATCAGGTGTTACAACCCACAAAGGGGGGTCAATGCAGCGTAGGTCTCTGTATCTCTATTTCCTCGACCTATAAAGGGCGGTCGCATGCACCCTTTCGACCCTGATTCTCACGTTGCACCTCCCTCATGCTGCCTTCCCTCCCTTTGCCATCAATAATCCCTTGACGTCGTTGCTACTCTCGTTGGTGTGCCTTAACCGAACCATGCAGGTTCCACCTAAGGTGGGCCTCTGCTTCTCTCTGTATCAACTAGTTCTTATACCTACCATCTCTAGGAGAATGATTAATAATCCCTTTTCAACCCGGTCTTTCTCTCATGGCACCTTCCTCTCCTTGGCTGCCTGTGTTTTCCCAAACCATCCATTCAGGTACGAAACATTGCTTAGTGGATCTCTATGTGTTGATGCGATGAACTCTCGATGAACAAGGACAATTGATCGAGAATTCACCCACTTCTCTCATGCATACCCTTTTCCTTGTCCATTCTCCCCTTTCCGTCGGTGTTTTCTTCAAACCACCACCAGGTGTTATGCAACGTGGGTCTCTGTATCTCGCTGCACGATCTGCAGTCAGTGCAAGGGGGGTTCATCTACCCCCCTTCCACTCATACCTCTTTTTCTTCCCATTTCCCCTGTTCCACATCAGGTGTTGCGCAACGTGGGTCTCTGCATTTCACTGCACGACCTGCAGTCAGTGGAAGGGGGGTTCATTTTCCCTTCCGACCCTGGCCCTCATTTTACTGTGAGATCTGTGCTCTCTAACACCTCTCTATTCCACCTCCATTCCATCCACCATTCTACCTCCCTCCCACCTCCCGTCCATTTCCCTTTCACCTCCCTTCCACCTCCCTTCCACCTCTTTTTCACCTCCCGTTCACCTCCCTTCCAACTCCTCTCCAACTCCTTTCCACCTCTTTTCACCAGGCCCCCTCCCCACTCCACTCTCATTTCCTCCCCTCTCACGCATTTCCCCTTTCCTGCATGATTTCTATCCCATTCCTTTCTTTCCACACACACACCAGCTTAGCTCCCTTACCAGCTCTCCCCATTTGCGCCTCTCACGTTCCCCTTTCCGTTGTTTTTTCTTGCATACATGTCATTTTCGCTCTCGTCTTGTGCTCTTCTTTCCTCACTCCTCTTGCACTCTTCCATCCATCTATCCATCTATTTCTCCTTCCGCCCGTCCTCCTCACTCATCTTGCCCCTTTCCTCCTCTACCTACAAACATCGGATTCTTTTTCATCTTGTCGGCATCGTACCCCTCATATGCCCGCCCTCTCTCGCTCGCTCTCACTCCCTTTCCCCCAACGTGTTGTCTTCTCACTCTCACTTGCCCTCCCTTCTTCCGTCTATGTCTATCCATCCATCTCTTCCTCTCCCTTCTCCCTCCCTCTCAATCCCCATTTTCCTTCCTTTCTTGCCCTCTGTTGCCTTCCCTTCTCCCCCCCATCTATCCATCCTGCCAGCCCTTCTCTCCTTCCTTTCTCAACGCACACACATCACGTTCGGTATTGACTGGTTGTCTTCTCACCATTTGCCGGGGAAGTGCTGGTTGTGAAGCATCCCGGGTTTCCCCTTCCCCTCCCTCCCCAACCCCCTTCCCTTGCCCCTCCTTTCCCGGCCTATGCACCCATCACGTTCGCTTCCGACTTGTCATCTTCTCACCATTTTCCGCCGAGGTGCTTCTGGGCAGGCTGGTGAAGTGCGAAGCCACAGGATGTTCTTATCCTGTTGGCTCTCTGGTTTGGCATCTTCTCATCCTGTGCTTCCTCCTTTGCACCTCTGGTTTGCCCCCTACATTCCCAACACAAGCACGCACCCATCAGGTTCGCTTCCGACTGGTCGTCTTCTCGCCATTCGCCGGGGAGGTGCTTGTGGGCAGGCTGGTGAAGTGCGATGCCACAGGGCTGTTTGGTACGTTCACAAATATTCAGGCGGTTACATTACATTACAAAAGGGTATCAGTCCATGCGGCTTTGTCGGGTGCTTGTGGGTAGGTTGGTGAAGTGCGATGCCACAGGGCTGTTTGGTACGTTTGCCATGCCCCCTCGTTCAATCACTTCTAAACTGACTAAGACACACACATTTCGGGTAGAAATTTCTCCACGTGGCCAAGTGACTTTTGAGTCGACTCAAAAGTCACCTTGGTAGAAATTTCTCCACGTGGCCAAGTGTGGAAGTGCTTGTGGGTAGGCTGGTGAAGTGCGACGCCACAGGGCTGTTTGGTACGTTTGCAAGCCGTGTTCTCTAGTTCAATGACTTTTAAAAGTCACTCAAAAAGTCACTTGGTGTATGATCTTCGTTACACAAGTGCTTGTCTTCAGCAGGCTGGTGAAAGGCGATCCCATATGCTGTTAGACATGTGTTTAATTTCCTAGGTGCCACAAGTATCGGGTTTGTTCACACGGGCTTTTGGGGTATGATTTTCTCTATTTCACATGGCATGTGTTCACGCTGTTTTATAGGCGCCTCAGTCATTGTATCGGTTCACACAGGCCTTTGAGGTGCCTCAACAAAAGCTGGAAAAACGTTTGTGGGTTGGCTGGTGAAATATGATGTGATGCCACAGGCCAGTCCTCTCTTCAGTGCTTCTACACCATTTTCTTCCCATCATTGATGCACCTGAAAAAGGAGGGGATGGGCTTGTGAACATCGATGCGAGAGTTGTCTACAGTATGGTCGTATGGTTCCATTCCTTGTAGGCACGATTTATTTCCTTGTTTGGAAGCCAGGCTTGGGAAACTAGTTTACTTGTTAGTTTGCTCCTCGGGTTTGCATCCTTTGTGTTGTATTCTTTTCTCTACCCAGTGTGTCTGTTTTCCCATTAAGTTTCTGCAACCCCCTTGTTTTTTATCTTACTTGCAGTATCGTTGGACTTTTTCTCCGATATACACATTCCTCATTACAACCTACAAGAGCCTTCGGTTTTGTGAGTAATAACGGCTGAACATGCATATGGACCACCAATGAATTGTATGCATTGTTTTGCATGTCCCTGCATGTCTCCGTGTGTGTTTTATGTGCATCTATCACGCATGTCCGTACACTTGTTATCATGCATGGTTAAGTCATTCATGCGTACATAATGAATGCATGCATGATTATTTGCATGTGCGTGTCACGTGTGTGCTTGAGTTTTTGCTGTTACGCGTGTCTCGTTGTAATCATGGTGTAAGTCATTCGTCTGTACATAATGAATGAGTAATTCTAGCACGCCCTTTCTCACTATCTGTGTCTGTTTACCTGTTTTCTTTATCGTGTGCCCCTGCATGTTCGCGCGCGTCCTGCATGTTCGTGTGCCCCTGCATGTCTGTCTGTGCCTGCATTCACATGCCTACCGAGTCGATTCATAAGTCATATTTGTGTGCCCCTGCACGTATGTGTGCCTGCCAATCTGTATGTGTCCCTGTTCACATGCCCTTGTTCCGAATGACAATGATAGTGAGTCGTTAAGGAGAAGAAGCTTGAGTCGACTCAAAAGCCACCTGTCAATCTATCGGCAGCTTGAGTCGACTCAAAAGCACTGTTCACATGCCCCTATCAATCTGTCTGTAGTAACGAGGAGAAGCTATAGATTTGGGTTTTGAACATGATGATATGTTTGTTCTAAGAGTTCGTTCCGTGCATGTGCCCTCGTTCGGCCCCATGCAGTGACGAGCAGGAGAAGCTGTGGGTGTGGAAGTTCAACGACAACGACATGTTCCTGGACATGGATGAACTGGTATGACTGGTGCTGACTGGCGTTGACTGACTGCCGTTGACTAGCGTTGACTGACAGTGCCACACTGCCTTGTTAGTACACAGCAGTGGAAGTTCAACGACAACGACATGTTCCTGGACATGGATAAACTGGTATGACTCGCGTTGACTCTGGCGTTGACTGGCAATGCCACATTCATTTGTTGTCACAGAGCCATAGAAGTTCAACGACAACGACGTTCTTGGACATGGATGAACTGGTATGACTGGCATGTCCAGTGCCACACTGCCCGGCAATCACAGTGACAACGACATGTACTGGCATTGGCGTTGACTGACTGGCACTGACTGGCATTGGCTGGCCTTGACTCGCATTGACTGGCTTTGCCACAGTGCCATGCCATTTGTCATACCAGGGAGGGGAGGGGGGGGGGGGAGAGGTGGGGGGGGGGGGGGGGGGGGGGGGGCTGTGTATGCCATGCTATATCATAAATACTTTATCCCCCTCCTTCTAGTGGAGCAGGGGTGAGCTATTGCAAGGCCTTGGCAACCCTTTTCTCTCCCTCGCTTGCATACCTGCTCTGCCTCTCTGTTTCGGCATATCATATTCAAGGTGGTGGTGGGTCTGAAGAGTCGTGGAGCAGCAGGAGCAGGAGGGAGCCATCACAATGCAACGCCTTGGCAACCCTTTGCTCTCCCCCGCTTGCATACCTGCCCTGCCCCTCTGTTCCATCATATCATATTCAAGGTGGTGGTGAGTCTGCAGAAGAGTCGCCCCCTACCTGTGGAGCAGGAGGAGGGAGCCATCTCAATGCATCAGTGCCATGCCAACCTTGTCTGAGTCGCCTTAAATGTAGCGGGAGAAAGGGGCCACTGCACTATCTTCACAACCCTTTGCTCTCCCCCACTTCCAGATCTTCACTGTCCCTCTGCTCCATCCAATTAAGTTCAAGGTGATGAGTGTGAAGTATCCCCCACTGCCCGTGGAGTAGGATAAGGGAGCGACTGCAATGCCTTCTCTCCCCCACTTCCATAACTGCCCACACTTTGCCGTCCCGTTCCTCTCCCTCAGATTCGGTTCAAGGTGGTGAGTGTGAAGTATCCCTCACTGCCCGTGGAGCAGGAGAAGGGAGCCACTGCAATGGCAGGAGAAGGGAGCCACTGCAACGCCTGGGCAACACTTAGCTGCCCTTCACTTCCATACTTGCACTCTCTTCCGCATCCCGTTCTCCCCCCACCCACCCCCACCCTGCCCCAACCCAGATCCGGTTCAAGGTGGTGAGTGTCAAGTATCCCGCACTGCCAATGGAGCAGGATAAGAGAACCACTGCAACCATTTAATCACCCCCACTTCCATACCTACCCACCCCCCCCTCCCGTTTCCCCCACATCCCATTCTCATATTAGATTTGGTTAAGGTGGTGGTGAGTGTCAAGTATCCCGCACTGCCAGTAGAGCAGGATAAGGGAGCCACTGCAACGCCTTCTCTCCCCCACTTCCATACGTGCCCTCTCTCCCCCCTCTCGTTTCTTCTCCCTTTCCTCATACCAGATCCGGTTCAAGGTGGTGAGTGTCAAGTATCTCCCACTACCCGTGGAGCAGGATAAGGGAGCCACCGCAACGCCTGCCCAACACTTGGTTCCCTCCACTTCCCACCCCCACCCCGCCCGTTCTCCTGCCCTCCCACCCCCACCCCGCCTCATCCCAGATCCGGTTCAAGGTGGTGAGTGTGAAGTATCCCCCACTGCCCGTGGAGCAGGATAAGGGGGAGCTACTGCACTGCCATGTCAACCCATTTACCCTTTCCCACTTCCATACCTGCCCGACCCCTCTGTTCCACCAGATCCGGTTCAACGTGGTGAGTGTCAAGTATCCCCCCCTGCCAGTGGAGCAGGAGGGGGAGCTACTGCAATGCCTGGGCAATTCTTTGCTCCCCTCCACTTCCACACTTGCCCTCTCTGCCCCCTCTCGTTCTCCATAACTCCACCTTCCCAACCCAGATTCGCTTCAAGGTGGTGAGTGTGAAGTATCCCGCACTGCTCGTGGAGCAGGATAAGGGAGCCACTGCCTTTGCAACTATGGAGATCATTGTAAGAACCACTTTTAAAATAACTACTTTCATTGTAGAAGACATGGAGGTTGAATAGTTGAATTTATGCATTATTTTTAAGGCATCCACTTTGGCACTGTACAAGCCTCATCTTTGCACCACTCACGACTGAAGACTCCATAGCCCATGCTTTAACATGTTTTTTAAACGTGGTTAATAAAGTGCAAGGTGGCATAATTTTGCTGTGCTTTGTGTGCATGCAGGGTGATATTAACGGCGATGGGCTCGGCTTGCTCTCTTGGTGGTCGTAGGTGTTTCAGCAAGTTTCTGAGTGGTGGTGATGGGTGCTGCATAAGGGATGCAGATAAATTAGTTTATGGGGTAGCTCTCTCGCCCAAAATGGTGGGTGTTTTTTTGGAGCTGTAGGGTCTTTATTGTAATTAAAGTTGTTCTCGTGACGACTGTATTCTAACGTTATTATCAATGTTTCTGGTTTTTGACACCGTAGGTTTTATTTCCTATAATCATATGATGGGTGATGCACAAAGCCGTCTAGGACAATCATTTGTTTTTTTCTCTTGAACATGAGCTTTCACAAAAGTGTGCCTCCATTGGCGGGTGACTCTATAGAGAACTGTCTTTTCACTCTAAGCCAGCCCTCGAAGCGTGACTTTTCGGAGATTTCAACGGTCGGCATGTTGTGCCATGCAATCGTCTGTTGTTCGCAATAGATTCACGGAGGTCCCAGGGCTGAGAGCCCGCGCACTACGGTTGAGTAGGTTCATAGACGTGGCAAAACGTTCTATGGTTGTTATCGAACGGTCAGGTAATGCTCAAATGATCTTCACGCCATCTAATCCAACTCCACATCTTGTCACCATACTCTTCACCTTCACGCACCATTGAGTAACCATTTATATACTCTTCAACCGCACTTGACCCTTTTCCAGCAAGCGGGAATCTCGACTTCACGCAGGATCTCCCGTTTCGATGCAAACTTCGAATATGCTCATGCTTCCCTCCCTCGTCGATCCTGAATTCCTCTGCGGTTCCCTCCCCTCATCAGACCTGCTCCCACAAAACGAACCCCAGCTGGGAGCGAGCAAGCCGTCCCACCCAAGTATGCTCGTATAAGACCCGAGTGTTGGTGCTAACACAAAGTCGCATATGCTTGTTGTCGGCGTTGCACCTCGCAGCAGCTTTCTCGCCCTCCAACCGCTTGGCTGTTCCGCCAAGCCAGTGTCTGCTCGCGCGCTCCCCCACCGGATCGTCGCCATGACTCTCGTACGCTTATATTTCACCTCAGTCCTTACTTGCCTACCTGTATATCGCGTACGATAGTATGCGTCGCGAATAGTTTTTTTGCGCGCGTAACGGCTTCAAGATCAAAAGCGCGCATAGGAGCGGCGAGATTGGAGGGTTTCACTCTGCATCCGCCCTCAGTTTGCCGGTTTCCGCAGTCTCTTGATCGCAGATTTTCGATTTTGTCGGATCTCCTTTGATTGTTTCTAGAAATTCGAGTCTAGTGGATTTTTTCTGAGATGTCTCAAAGCCCCTATATTTAGAACCTCTTTCTACAGGCTGAACCGGATTAACCCTGTTTGTTCACATTGGAGTTTGTCTGACGAGCACCGGTCCGCTCAAATTTGCTCCGACTAGCACCTATTTGCACCGGTCTCCGTGGACGCTTAGTATGAGGTTGAGATGCCTTGATGTACCAGGGTTGAGGGTTTGAAGCGTGCAAGGACCGATCTGGCCAATACCACAGAGACATAGATCCAAAAGCCCTTTTGCAGTGGATGCTAACGCTCAACGCTCTGTCTCCTCACCGGCTTTAGTATCTCCGCAGAGGGGTTATTCTGGAGGAATCCGATTGGCCAGAACCCTGAACCTTTCAGTCCCGAGTCAGGTTGACGCTCCTTCGTGTAGCCCGTGGCTCCTGTTTTCGGTGATTCCGCCTGCTTGTGGCGCCTGCTAATCAGCGGAAGCCACGTCACATGGCATGGGTTCATAACTCCCCCATTTTCCCCGTCCCTCCTTTCTTTTTTTTTCAAAATTACCACATCCACCTTCTCAAGGAGAATGCGGACAGGGCGCTCGATCGCCGTTGAACACGTGGCCGTCAAGATCGAGGCGAGCTGAACGAGTCACAGGTTTAGCCTATGTCCTCTCGTCGATCTTCCCTCCCTTCCCTTCTCTCCCGTCCGTGCTATCCTTCTGCAGAAGCTCTACACCTCCCCGCACAACAAGAACGCGTACAAGGCGCTGATCGCGGCGCAATTTGTGGGCGTGAAGATCGAGATCCCCCCATACCAGTGGGGCGTCACTAACAAGTCGGAAGAGTTTACGAAGCTCACCCCGATCGGCAAGGTACGATACCCACCACCAACCTATCAGTGGTACCCTACCCATCCACCAACCAATTCATGCACGTGAAGATTTAGATCCCCCCCTACCAGTGGGGCGTCACTAACAAGACGGAGGAGTTTTCGAAGCTCACCCACCACCAACCAACCTATCAGTAAGGTAGTGCACCCATCCACGAGCCAATTCGTGCACGTGAAGATTGAGATCCCCCCCTACCAGTGGGGCGTCACTAACAAGTCGGAAGAGTTTACGAAGCTCACCCCGATCGGCAAGGTATGGAAAGGACTAGGAAGAGCCGTTAGAGGTGGGGAGGGGACTGACTAGCAAGTCGTGGGCGTGAAGATTGAAATCCCGCCCTTCCAGTGGGGTGTCACCAACAAGTCGGAGGAATTTCTTAAGCGGCCAGAGGCAAGGTAATTCTGGATCGGGGCTAGCGTGCTTTGGTGCACAAGAGAGCAACATCTGAAAGAGTGTCGTTAAATGGAAACAACGGGATAAAAAACGAGTGCATGAAAGGCTCACATACTTTTCAGCGTTGCAATTGCACATGCGTTCATCTTCTTTAATGCTGTCCAATCTATGTTATGCGCCGCTGTGTTGCAGATCGCACTGATTGTCACTCCTGATGGGCCAATCTATGTTTTGAGTCCACTCAAAACACTCCATATTGTGCTGTATTATATTGTATTGTTCTGTGTTGTGCTGTATCCTCTGCTGTGCTGTGTTGTGTTGCAGATCCCACTGATTGTCACTCCTGATTGCCTGCTTTCCCTCCTTCCTTTCTTCGCTACTGATGGCCTGCCTTCCCTCCTTCCTTTCTTCACTACTGATTGCCTGCCTTCCCTCCGTTCTCCTCTCATCGCCTTTCCCCTCTTCCCCACTCGGCCCTTGCCTCTCGTCTCCTCTCCTCCCACCTCCCTCTACCCCTACCCTCCCTTTGCCTCAAGTGTGTCAATCCTCCTTTCCCTCCCTGCCATCACTCGCTGCAGTTTGGATTTATGCAAAACCATCGTTTCGTAACGACATCGAACTTACACTTGTCGAAATTCGCGACGACTGTTCTGCTGTCAGGTCTCGAGCGCCTTGAGGATTTCAATCAACGGTGCTGGCAATCGAGGCAGTAACGGGATCCGATATAGAGCTCTCCAATATAGCGGGATCAGTGAAAATGAGATGACATACCTGAAACAGACTGATCGCATTACACTGTACCGAAATTCGCTATAAGAGACCACGGTGTTCGTACTAACGGAGATGGAGGATGACATTCGCGTCGCGCCTCATGACCTGCACCGCCCGCATTTGACGGCCGTCAGCTCGGAAATCAAAGCCAAATATTTTGATAAGGTATATGTGAAGACGTTGGTAAGGTAGGGCCGTGAACCTTGCTTTCATTACCCGCATTGACGACCATCACAACCAAACACCATGATAAGGTGAGCGACTTGGTACAACGTGCTTAGACCACTCCCATATTAAAACCATGTCAAATTCCTGTTGAAGCCCATAAATCCCCCAGCAAAGCCCATTTAGAGTCCAATGAGGTCCCAGATAGGGCGCATCAGGTGTTACAATCCACAAAGGGGGGTCAATGCAGCATGGGTCTCTGTATCTCTATTTCCCCGACCTATAAAGGGCGGTCGCATGCACTCTTTCAACCCTTATTCTCACGTTGCACCTCCCTCGTGTTGCCTTCCCTCCCTTTGCCATCAGTAATCCCTTGGCATCGTTGCTACTCTCGTTGGTGTGCCTTAACCGAACCATGCAGGTTCCACCTAAGGTGGGCCTCTGCTTCTCTCTGCATCAATCAGTTCTCTCACCTACCATCTCTAGGAGAATGATTAATCTTCCCTTTTCAACCCGGTATTTCTCTCATGGCACCTTCCTCTCCTTGGCTGCCTGTGTTTTCCCGAACCATCCATTCAGGTACGAAACATTGCTATGTGGATCTCTGTGTGCTGATGCGATGAATTCTCGATGAACAAGGAAAAATCATAAAAAATTCGCCCACTTCTCTAATGCATACCCCTTCTTAGTCCATTCTCCCCTTTCCGTCGGTGTTTTCTTCAAACCACCACCAGGTGTTGCGCAACGTGGGTCTCTGCATCTCACTGCACGACCTGCAGTCAGTGGAAGGGGGGTTTATTTTCCCTTCCAATCCTGGCCCTCATTTCACTGTGAGTGAAATCTTTGCTCCTTTTGAGCCGACTTAAATGTCACCTTGAAAGGGGCGGTTCATTCATTTACCCCTCGGGCCCCATCCTCACTTCACTGTGAGACCTGTTTTTGTTGAGGTTGATTATGAAAAAACCTTAAACTCAGCCTCAACAAAAAGAGAGGGGGTTCATTTACCCCTCGGACCCCAGTCCTCACTTCACTGTGACACTTGTGCTGTGCCTCACACCTCTACTCTACCTCCATTCCACCCAACATTCTACCTCTCTCCCACCTCCCGTCCACCACCTTTCATCTCCCTTTCACGGTTTCACCTCCCTTCCACCTTTCTTTCACTTCTTTTCCAGGCCCTCTCTCCTTTCTCCCTCCCTCTCACCATTCGCCGGGGA